TACAACGTCGTTGCCAAGCGACGAAAACCCAACCCCGATGGCAAACACCGGGGGGAGTTCTTAACTTGGGTTTGGGAATAGGGTTAGGGAATGGGGTCTGCGTACCTCCTCCCTCCCTGGTCTATTTTCCTCAGTAATGTCCTGAATTTGGGTTTGGGAATAGGGTTAGGGAATGGGGTCTGCGTTCTCCCTCCCTGTTCATTTTCCTCAACAATGCTCTTCATTTGGGTTTGGGAAATGGATTAGGGAATGGGGTCTGTGTTCCCTCTCCCTGTTCTATTTTCCTCAACAATGCGTTTAATTTGGGTTTGGGAAAAGGGTTAGGGAATGGGGTCTGTGTTCCCTCTCCCTGTTCTATATTCCTCAACAATGCTCTTCATTTGGGTTTGGGAAAAGGGTTAGGGAATGGGGTCTGTGTTCCCTCTCCCTGTTCTATATTCCTCAACAATGCTCTTCATTTGGGTTTGGGAAAAGGGTTAGGGAATGGGGTCTGTGTTCCCTCTCCCTGTTCTATTTTCTCAACAATGTATGTAATTTGGGTTCGGTAATAGGGTTAGGGAATGGGGTCTGCGTTCCCCCTCCCTGCTCTATTTTCCTCAACAATGCTCTTAATTTGAGTTTGGGAATAGGGTTAGGGAATGGGGTCTGTGTTCCCTCTCCCTGTTCTATTTTCCTCAAAAATGTCCGTAATTTGGGTTCGGGAATAGGGTTAGGGAATGGGGTCTGCGTTCCCCCTCCCTGTTCTATTTTCCTCAACAATGTTCTTAATCTCTCGTGAAGGCGGTCAAGCGCTCTCACCGGCCTTCCGAGCACGACCGACCCGGAGACGATGAGCCGCAGGGAGGCCGTTGATTGGTCGAGCTCCCTCTGGAGCCAGGCCCGCTGCTCTCTCCCCAGCACCTCGCAGAAAGGCGAGTCCTGCAAAACGAGCAACGCGTGTACAGAACCAACCGCAGTTCTTCGCTTCGAGCTCCTAGCTGGGAAGACATGGTGCGATGATCACGTGGGATGGCATTGCGTGATGAGACCACAAAGCTCATATCATCTCACCTCTGTACAACCCCAATAATCGCATATGAAAGAAACCTCCGCACACACGCGCGCCGCTACAAGCCTTTAATACGTTTGCCGACGACCACTTTCTGAACCAGCCATCGCTATCCTGTGTTGGTCACTCTGTTTGCTGGGCCCCCCGTCTCTTCGCCTACCTATGCCGTAGCTCGGCCTCTTCTTGCGAGTAGGCGCGACTCGCTGAAGCAAGCGATGAATGCTCTCTGTCTTTCCCCTTGTTTCTCTCTCTGCTTCTCTCTCAATTCATCTCTCTCTCTCAATTCATCTCTCTCTCTCTCTCTCTCTCTCTCTCTCTCTCTCTCTC